GGAAAGTGCAAAGAAAATATAAAGTAAGTCATCGGCAACCACGGGCGTGCTCAAGAAGGCCGTACATCGCGCTACGGGCGCTTATGCGGACCAGAGGCGGCGGGGGGTGTAACGGCGCTGGTTCTTCTGCCTGTTGTTCTTGTTCTTGTTGCCCTTGGTCGACGTGGTGGCGGTGGCAGTCGCAGCGGGGGTGATCGTCGCGGCAGCAGCAGTGCCAGTTGCAGCAGCAGTGCCAGTTGCAGCAGCAGTGGCGTCGGCGGTGATGGCGAGCGACGCCGTCACGATCTCGCCGAGAAGGCTGTCAACGTTGGCAGTGTTGAAGAAGCCAACACCGGCGTTGCCAGCGTTGATCGAGGTGGTGCCTGCAGCCTGAGCGGCGGCAGCAGCAGCGTTCTTGGCGTCCGTGATGGTCTGAAAGCCATGATCAGACAATGGTCATGTCATACAGTATAACAAAGACATACCGAGTCCTGGCCACCGGCACCGGCGTCGACCTGGGTGCTCGCGAGGAGCTCCATGGCGTTGCCAATAGCGGTCTGGACGGCCTTCTTGAGGTCGATCGCCTGCTGAGTAGTCAAGACAGCACCGGTGGGCGTCGTCGAGTTGCCACCCTTAGCAGCATTGTCGTCGTGGCCGGCCACTGAAAATCGTGAGTACGCGCCGTTCGCACTAGCTATCACACGAAGTACTCACTGCGGTCGATCGGGATGTCGATAGCCGTGCCGGTAACTGTGGAGAGCTCGTCGAGAAGCTGAGCAGTGAGCTGCTGGCGCTTCTCGTTGATCTCACGCTCGACAAGCGAACGCTTCTCCATGAGCGGAGAAAGCTGGCGTTCCATCATGTCAACGAGGTCACGGTGAACGACCTCAGCAACAGCCTCGTTGCGCGCCTGAACGGAGGGGTAGAAGTGGCGGCCGACGACGCGGTTGCGATTGGCGTTTGCGGCATTCTTGTTCTTGTTCTTGTTGTTGCCAGTCGTGCCAGTTGTACCAGTCGCGGTCGTGGACGTAGACGCAGCAGCGGCCTCTGCTCCGCAGTTAGCAAGCCGTCAACAAATGGTGTAGGGCAAGTACTCACGGGAGACAGCAACGCAGCCACCGAATGGACCAGCGCCGTTCGCGATTGACGAGGTCTCGCCACCGTTGTTCAAGCGAATCAAGCAAGTGCTACCAGCACCAGTGCAAGTTGTACCCGACGGGATCTGGACGGTGATCGAAGAGTTCGCGGGACCGTTGCTGCATCCTGGGTCAGACTGGCCCTTCGGTCAAGTGCGAAGAGTGCTTACTGGAGGACACCGTTGACACCAGGGGGCTGGGAGAGGACGTTGATAGTAGTCCATGTCTCACCAGTGGCGTCGGTGTTGATCTCCGCGGCGAATGGGCCTCCGCCGTCAGCGTTGACCTGGAACACACCCATGGTGAGGGTGCCGTTGTCGGGGATCGTCGGGACACCGCCAAAGGCCTTGGAGACCTTGGCCATTGAGGTTGCGATGTTGACAGAGCCGGCGAGGAGCGTAGCGCCACAAGGGTCTAGGAAGCCGATAAGCAGATGATCGTAAAAGGGATGCTAATCGAGATAACGTACCAGTTGCGGTGTCCTTCAGGACGGGCGTGTCGAGCTGGAAGGGCTGCTCGCCAGTGCCACCGCGCTCGACCTCACCATTGAAGGCTGCGATTCCCGATTAGCACGGAAACCATGTTATAGAGATCGAACTTGATACTCACTGACGCCGAGACCGACAGCGGAAACACCGTTGGCACCAGCAACACTGTTAATGAACGCATGTGCGTAGGCCGAAGAAGCGGCAGCAGAGAGGACAGCAAGCTTCACGAGCATTGTCACAGAGAAGACTCAGAGAAAGTGGAAAAGGTCGAAAGAGGGGCCTGGAGTAGAGAGAGTAGGAAGGGTGCTGCGTGCTAGACGGCCCGGCCGGAGAGGAAGAATAAGGGAAAGGACGGAACAGAACAGACGTCGGAAAAGGCCAGCTACCAGAACCTGTGGTAGAAGAGACTTGAGGTATCCCAAACCGGGACGGCAAGTCTTATATACATCGGCGGGCAGGGTCTATGCCTCGCGGCGGCCCGTCGCCCACAAGGCTGCGAGATGTCCGAAGACCGGCCGTTGCGAGGAAATCGAGCAGATTGACGTTTGTTCCGGCGGTCAAGTTCTGGAATATCAAGCCGGATGAAAGACAAGCCAAGCTTTGCTTGTCAGCACAAGATGCGCTATGGACGTTGCTGCGCGGGTGATCTAAATGGGACTCCCTGGCGCTGTTCATTGTCTTGTAAGTCCTTTACCTGACACACTTCGAGTCCGTACTCTCGAGCAGGGTGACAAACAAGGCGGCCATGTTCAACTCCTCGGGCACCGTGGTGGGACGAGACAGGTCGAGCCCGGGGTCGAGGCTGCCTGAAGAAGAGCAACCACGTGTGAATAAGGATGCGAGGTACCGTTGCCTCGAAGCTGGTTGCGCGGCTCCCACATGCGCTCTCCTCCGCTCCTCCATCATGCTCGTCGCGAGGCCCGCTATCGGTGCCGGCGGCTCATATGTTGAACAATGGCCAATGTGATTATTCCTGCAGCTTCTCGAGGGTCCTTGGCATCTCTACGTCGCGATGTCGAGCACTCGATTGCTTGAAATCAAGATTATTCAGAAGTCAGTGCAGTATATGCTGACCAGTGACTGGCCAGGCTCGTTTGGGAAAGTTGCTCACTTCATTCGCGGCACGCAGCGGCTCATACCCTTTCGGTCGAAAGGCTTTCTGGCGGTTTGTTCTTGTTCTACACAACATCCGGTTGTCGACAGCCGACACGCAGTCAGCTGCGACTCCGAGTCCATGGTAACCCTACCTCCCTTCACTGATGCGGCCCGTTACCATACGAGCCTATCAGACTGGCCAAAGGCCGGGGACGAATGACCTATCACAGAAAGGGACCTTTACAGGCCAATCATCATGAGGCATTATCTGACGACGTCAGATGCTAGGAGACTTGGCGTCGCGTACGGCGTCATGCCGGACGGTGCGATCTGGTTCTGAGCGCAAAATGTTCGTATTCTGCGACCTTCTACGGACGAGTTCATTGTGAGCATGCGATCTACGCTGCGGGTACCCAAGAGATGAAAGGCAACGCATCTACGCCCTGCACCTCAGCCTGCTGCGCCTGCTTTTCATACAGGAACCCGATCCCCCAAACGCCCATCCCATACCTCTCCACAAAGTCCAGCTCCTTTTGGTCCCCTTCATCCGGTACGGTGAGGATGAGGCGAGGCGCTGCGCTTCCTTTGCCCGCTACCGTGCTCAGTAGCTCCCATTCGTGCCATTCGGAAATGGGCCCGACTTTGTGCTGTACGCCGAGGATCGCGTCGAGTTGAGAGGACTTCTCGGCGAAGGCAGAGCGCGGCACAAGAACACGAAGGAAGGCTACGGACGTGGTTTTGTTCGGGTGGTCGTGAAGCTTCGGGTCGGTGGGCACCTACGGACGCGGGGTCAGTATTAGAATTCCATGGGCAGAACTGCACGGGAGCCTTACGCGTATCTCCCTTTCTGTGATGTCCCCGCAGAAGAACGGCCTGCCCATGCCGTCGACCTGCTTCTCCCAAGCCTTAGGCTTCACCAACTCCCACTGCATCTTCGTACCATCCGGACGAGTCCGTCCACCCCGGACCGGGTCTTGATACCTATAATCACTACCGGCTTCTTCAAGACGCCCGTTGATGATCTGCGCGAGACCCGGCTCAGCCGACGGTGCGCCTGCGAAGGCGTAGGCCACAAGACCTCCCGCGGGCTTATTGGCCCACTGGTGAGAGTCGCGAAGGATGCGCGGAGGGGTGCCTTCTTTGTAGTACTCGGGCGGGTGCTCGAATGCGATGATCTCGATGTAAGATAGATCAGATAAGATCTGTTCAAACATCTACGTCAATTTCCAAGCGAGCGTCGTAACCGATGGCACAGATGAGAGCTTACAACAAGAACGTTGGCCGTCAGCCCGTCGGTATGTTTGCCTCCTGGTATGACCCTACAAGAGTGGTCAGTAACACGAGCGGCTAAGGGTATGACGTATGACACGTACTGGAAGCCAAGTTGTTCGAACTGTTCCGTAGCTTCAGTCAGCCTGCCGTCTGGCACGCGAATGACTATGTGGTCAATTGTTCTCATAGATACGGATGGCATGGGGGCTTGTAGGGTGACGGTTCGTCCCAGGAAGCGACGGGTTGACAGGACTTCTTAAGTTGAAGACGTGCGATGGAGTCATGGTGACTTCCCGTTGTCCTCAGATCGCATTTAGATTAGATACCAGAGTCCACGTCGTCTATCTAGACGGTCAAGACAATGCCTTTCCGGATGTGTCATCGCATTGCTCAAGAGGCCGTAAGGAGTCGCTCATGAGAGTGTACAGCAAGAAGCGCGCAGGCGGTAATAATCGTCGAATCGTGCGACCCGCAGCCCCGCCCGCAGCTCCGACCGAGCCTCGAGCGAAGGTGCTTTTTAGTCGAACCGCCACAACCCTTGTAGACTCTTATACCCTCACGCAGCGTACCGTCTGCGCAGCTTGTCAGCTTACCCTTCACCTACTCATGCCTGTTACGCCGCTACACAACGATACTGCCAGTCTACATATATTCGGGCGCGATGTTCAGAGCACACTGACGCCCAATGACACGCAACGGACTACGCTTATAGTTGCGGGAGTCTATATTTTGGTCATAGGCATTCTATGGTACGTCTACTGCCCATCCCCCGCCCTATGCATGTTGAACTCATCGGCTTCTTGCGTAGGCATGTTCCATTCCTGAACGTGATCAGTAAGTTGCCTGCTCAATCCGGAAATCCTAATACTAAATGGACACGCAGTCTACCCCTTCAAGTGAGCTATCCCTCTCTGTACAATCGAGTCTAGGAAAGTGACTGACATTGCGGTGATATAGGCTGTTAACGGTTGGGTTTCATGAGGTGCATTCTTAGAGCGCTCATTCCCCGCATAGCGCCACTCACATTTGTGGGCGTTCAGATGAGCCATGCTTTCGCTGGAGTCTTGACTTGCGCACATATACACTCCATCGAGCTTGATCGTACGTTCTGCGCACACTCCGGTCGGGGTAGGCATGCTCACACGACCACTGTGTAGCGGACGAAGGTGGCGCCACACGTATGAGCGGCGGTATATCCTGGATCACTCTACCAGCCGGCTACCTCGGCAGTTCCTTCATCGGCGCATGCCTCATTGCTTGCGGCTTCGACACCGATGCGAGTAAAGTCGCAAGCTTGGTGGTTGCTGCCTTCTTCCTGTTTACTTTGTGGTGGGCACGAAAGAATTGGCTGTGAGTCTATGCGGCGCTTGTTGGTCAGGGGCGTATCTGACGAAATAAATGCAGAACATGGGTACTGATCATCGGTATGACCGGTCTGATTGTGCTCTTCTGGTTCGTGGCAGGGGGTGTGGCGCTGAGATACTTCGTACGTCACTCTCACAGGCCTCGGTCAATCTCGGCTTAACCCGCCGCGCAGATCCTATTCATTGGTGTCATGTCCTGCCTGTATGTCATCTGGGATATCGTCGATGATACCATTGCGAGGAAAATCAACCAGTCCGACGCTTCTGCCTTCGCCAAAATCTGCGGATGCTTCCCTTCGCAAGGTTCGTACTATCCGTGTACTCTTACACGCCCGAACTCATACCATATCACAGTCTGGGGAGTCATCTGGCTGCTCATCGCGATCGTCTTCTTCGCAGCCGGGATACTCGTTGGTCTCGCTGCGTTCAAGGAATCCGCCGCGCAACAAGCGGAAGACTCGAAACACTTCTTGCCCGTCCCCGGCAGCGGTGCGCTTGCGAATGCGCCCATACCTACCGCTTTGCTATCTCTTGTTATCGTTGTTGGAACCATCTTGGCTTGAAATACTTTCGCTTTGATCTGCTTTCGGACTTCAGCAACGGGACACTGTGATTGACCTCGTGTATCATACCTCGCACCTCGCGATACCTTTCTGCTAACTACCCATGTATTTTACTGGTCTATACAACGTTGTCTCCAACAGAAAGCGATCGCAGTACCCCGTCGTACAAACTCTTGAGTCGGGTCTACCTCGACCCAAACCCGAACCACACAGTTCGCGTCGGCGATACACGCGCGACGGGTCAGGTATAGCGTGTACAACGTCGCGTCTATGCTTTGAACGTGGCATCGCGTTGCGATGTCTCCCGCGCTCCTCGGACCTCGGCATCGCTTGCTTACTTCGACCTCCCAGTCTCGCTTCCATCTTCGTCGGTGGGAAACTCAGACACGCAGAGCACTCTCAAAGTGATGAACGGTCATTACAGCTAACGAAGAAACGATAGACCACGACGCGCATGGAGTCCGTACAAGAAAATGGGCTCGGCCCTTGCATCTCGAGCCTGAGGCTGTGTAGGCCAGGCTCATGACCAATCCGATGACCGACCGCTACCTGCTGCTTTGGCGCTGCTCTCCCGTTTTCAGCTATCAAACTCCATTGATACTGACGTGAAGAGTCTTTCCAATTATTTGAGCAGTAAATTGCGAGGGAATATCCCAGAAAGGTAGAAAGCCGCGCATATCACTCGGTCGACGAGACGCGAGGCCGTGGCCGTGGCCGCGTCGCGGTCGTTCTATGACCTCATGTTGAGTCCAAATAAGGCGCGCCCAGCCGCAGATTCACTCGCACACCTTGTGCGGTGTGGCCTATCGTTTCTTCGTTAGCTGTAACACTTTCGATCGCGTGCCGCATGAGCCGCCTCTGTCCAAGGAGGTTGATTATCATCATAGCCAGTGGGAAAGGTACCTAATGATGAGGCTGTGGTGCTAGCACTACACTTGACAGACACCTCCGTTAGGCTCGCTATACACCCTATCACCATCGCTACCCACTAAAGGCGGCGCAAGGTCCTAGAGCGTGAACATGAACATCGTGGACCCATCGTTGGGAGTACAAGATTTCGCACCGGATTCTCATATCCGCAAGCGCCTGTCGTCCCATGTGCGAGAGAAACGGCCCACCAGAGGACGGAATACCGCGACGGGTGAACCTTGGCGAACGAATGTCAGCGCGGCCTCCAAGTAGTTGTCCCGCGAGCGCAGCAGTGTAGAATCATACCCAAAATCTCTGTCTATGTCAGCACCAAGCGGTATGACGGACGGGCGGAGTGCACGGCGAGTGAAGCTGCTTGGACGTTAGTTGAGTCTGACCGAGCCAAATCCTTTGCAGAGAATGAAGGATCTTACTCGAGGCCCCTATTGGCGCGAGTAAGTGGCATTTTGACGTTAAATGGTACGTAGAAAGGGCCAAGCTCTTGGTTACTGCGTGGGTATCAGCTCAGCCTACTCTTCTAATGAAGAATAGTATCATACGCATCAGGCAAATCCCGCCGCTCTTCAGCCGTGAGCGGATAGCCGTTTGGTAAGATATCGCGACGAGCGAAGCTGCGTGAACGTCAGGTTAGTCCAATGGAACTTCTATCTAGTACAGAATACAGAGAACCGTACTTGATAACCATATCTGTGTCAGCATCGGGCCTTCCAGTGGTAAGCGGTATCTTGAAGATCGGGCGGAGTGCGCGACGGGTGAAGCTGCCCAGACGTCAGCCGCTGAATCCTGTGCAGAGGACGAAGGGTCTTACTCGGGACCCCTCTTGGCGTGAAGAAGTGGCACTGTATCGTTCCAAGCTGCGTAAAAAGGACCGTTCTCTTGGGTGCTGCGTACACATCAGCACAGCCTACTCTTCTACATGGAGAGACGATTGTACACAAGACCAGAACGACGCATGATCCTCCATGAACGATATATATAAGACCACTAAGCCACCCATGCAATCGGACAAGGTACTCACACAAGATCCGTCTCTCCCCGGCGCCGTTGTTCTTTAAGCTCAGACGCGTGGGACGAACCATTCGGAAGGAGGTTGCGACGGAGAACCCTGGACTGTAGAGTGAGACTGATGTAGAATACTCGGGCAGCCATGATGCACTGACGTCTGCCCCAAGTATGCCCTCTCTTGTTGCTGTCCGCGATTGCCAGCTTGATTCTGCCCGTAAGTGACTGTTCGACATTGGTCTTTCCCGAAAGTACCTTGTTGCTCTCCAGCTGCGTCTGCTTCCTGATAAACAGACCCGTCCGAGGAGGCATCGCGTCGCGATGCGCCCAAAAATGGCCTAGCATGACTGAGAGCTCAGTACCGAACAAGCCAAGGGCGAGTGTGAGAACTTTGCGGGCATACCTCAAAGTAGCAGTGGCAGCGCAGACGAGCGTCAGAAAAGTGAACGTGAAGAAGAAACGCATATCGAATGAAAGATAGTAGCAAAAGAGGAAGCAGAAGAAGTGAAGATAAATGAATAGTGAAAGCGGGCAAAGAAAAGGAAGGAGGGGGAGAGCCGGCTCTACAGATCGAAACCGTTGTTCATCGCTTTTTATACCAGTTGATCTCTAATACTACTAAAAACAGTGATAACGCCCAAGACGGATCCGTCACCCTATACCATCGAGATCTCTCTACGTTCCTTGGGTCACTGATTACGGAGATGCCGGGATAATCTGTGTTCCACCCTCGCCAGGACTCGTGCCCACGGTGACCAGTAGGCGCTGAAGGCGTGAGACGGAGGCACGTCATGGATCCAAAGAAGAGAGGCACTGGCAATATGTTCAGCTGCATAGGCACATTTATCGACGCTGTCCTGTGATATAGGGTAGGCAGGGAATGGTGGTGGGAGGCAAGAGTGCTAGGGCAACGCGCGGCGAGTATATTGAGCGGATCAAACCGCGTGACGTCACGCGCCGGTACGCCGCACGGCTCGCCAGCATCGCGCTTTGGTTTCAATCGCGATGTGCACACTCGAGGCATTACACCATCCATACAATCAATAGATTACCCTGCAAGACGAATTGTACATTCTGACTTCTCGGAATGTAAGGGGATCGCATCTAGGTGTCCCTCTCCTCGTGGACGCTTCGAAGCCTCGTGAAGCGTGTATGTAGCATCTTTCTGCTCGCGCTGCATGGGACCGGAATCCTGGATCCCGACCAGTTTATCATGATATTTTACCGTTACGGCGCATTTTCATCTTTGATTAGGCGGAAACCGCACCCTGGAAGCCGGTTGCGGACTCCTCGGCGAGTTTCTTGTCGCCTGCCGCAATCTCACAGGCGAACAAGAACGTGGGCCTGAGTGCGCTGAGGGTAGGAAGGATGTCGCAAAGCGCCAACGCGCGTTGTATAGGGGCCCGAATGCTATGCTATCCGTAACAACCGAATCAAATTGGACCCGGGGTGGTGGTCGACGACGGCCAGAACGGCGGGCTTCACGATCACCTTTCAGTGTGTTCGAGAAGTTTGCTTATGCTCCGGTATCATCTCATTATGAGGTTTGCTATCATACAGTATCTAGACACGGTACACGAGCCCGCGATGATGGTAGGACGGTATAGGGCCCGGCACTACCGCCGTGCGAGCGCTAGGCGAGGTGCGCCTCTCAGGATGTCCAGCGCGCGGGCAACCGCCATGATCGAACCAGTGACCGTGAGCGATCCGGAGAGCACCGACACGACCATTAAGAACGGCCGGCACCCTACAAGTGTGGCGCGCGTGAGCGACAGTTGGATGTAACTCGCAGACGGCACCAATGCGAGATGGCGAGTCGTCGATATCCAGAAGCAGTGCGGGGAGCGGCTACTTGTCCCCGATGAGGGAAGACCAGATATGTAAACGGGACTTGAGGGAAAGCGTCTTGATGATGCGGGCTCCATTGGAGGCGGCGGGGACCACATCCTCATGCTTGTCGTCTTGAGGCGGGTGAGGGATGGACGTCTAGACAGGGATGGACGCTGGGTCCATCTCGGCCCAAACCCGGGCCACACGGTTCGCGTCGGCGATAAGATCACCACAATCTCCAACATGATCTGTTTTCGGAGCGCTGTGACTCGCTCTCACTCACTTTCTTCTTACCACTACCTTGCATCGGCATCATGTCTGGAATAGTAGACCAAGCCAAAGCAGCCGTTGAAGCTGTCACGGAAAAGCTGGCGTCCACGTCCGTCGCGTACGCCCTACCCGACACATCTCCATTAAACTTTATATTGATCTCGTTCCCAGGCCTGCAACAGACTCGGACGCACCCGCAATCAAGCCTGCACCTCCAGCAGACGCGCATGCCCAAGTCGTAACACCCTGGGATGTTGCTGGCGAGGTGTCGGCCGACGGTTCGCAGCTGGCCATAGACTACGACAAGCTGATCGACCAGTTTGGCACACGGCGCATCGACGCGGCGCTACTTGAGCGTTTCGAGAAGCTGACGGGTCATAGGCCACACGTATTCTTGAGGAGAGGGCTGTTCTTCTCCCATCGGTGCGTATTCGCTCAGCGGACTTGGTGCAAGGAGCTTATGGAGGTATAGGGAGTTCAACAATATCCTGGATCGGTATGAGCAGGGAAAGCCGTTCTTCCTCTACACTGGGCGTGGGCCGAGTAGTGACAGTATGCATCTGGGTCATCAGATCCCCTTCGTCTTCACCAAGTATGCGCATTTCTGGCCTATCCGTATCCTGATCTAACTATACGCTAGGTGGTTACAGGATGTCTTCGACGTTCCATTGGTCATTCAGTTGACAGGTACGTTCTCTTCCCGTTTCACATTATGCCTCTCTGATTGTGCATCACAGACGACGAGAAGTTCCTCTTCAAGCACGAGCTCACGCCCGAGAAAACATACAAGTTCGCCTTCGAGAACGCGCGGGACATCATCGCCGTGGGCTTTGACCCCTCCAAAACCTTCATCTTCAGCGACTACGACTACGTCGGCGGCGCCTTCTACCGCAACGTTTCCAAGATCTCGCGTCAGATCACCATCAACCAGGCCAAAGCGACCTTCGGCTTCAACGACTCTGACAACATCGGGAAGATCCACTTCGCCGCCATCCAGGCGAGCCCGTCGTTCTCGAACAGCTTCCCGCACATCTTCGGAGAGAAGAAGGACATCCCGTGTTTGATCCCCTGCGCGATTGATCAGGACCCGTACTTCCGCTTGACGAGGGACGTGGCGGTCAAGTTGAAGTATCCTAAGCCGGCGTTGATCCACTCGAAGTTCTTCCCGGCGTTACAGGGCCCGCAGACGAAGATGAGCGCGAGCGATGTGAACAGCAGCATCTTCATGTCCGACACTGCGAATCAGATCAAGAACAAGATCAACAAGCATGGGTTCAGCGGTGGACGTGAGACGGAGGAGGAGCATAGGAAGTTGGGAGGCAATCCGGATGTGGATGTCGCGTATCAGTATCTCAGCTTCTTCATGGACGACGATGAAGAACTTGCCAACATCGCAACGGTAAGTCTCATTTTGGTTCTGCCAGATATGAATGGTGTGGGGGCAGTACGCTGATGCGCCGCTTCTCGTTGACAGGAGTACCGCGCGGGTCGTCTGTTGACGGGTCAGCTCAAGGCGAAGTGCATCGCCGCATTGCAACAGTTCGTCAAGGACTTCCAAGAGGTACGTCGTTGCCTGTCTCTCCGATTCCGATGGGCACGTACTGATGTTCTTCTCATCGCGTTTCAGCGCAAGGCGAAAGTTACGGACGACAAAGTCCGCGAGTTCATGAGCGTCCGGAAGATCGAGCCCACATACGGTAGGTCGGCGCAAGCGCCCGCACCGGCCGCATAAAAGTAGAACGAGGAGTCGATCTTCCTGTATATGTAGTATGAGTTCGACATGGGGATATACATTGTAGGGCGCCCGGCGAAGGAAGAAAGAAGTCAGATGGAAGTTGGTCATGAAGCCGCGGCGCACGCGCAGCGGGCGATGAGCGGGGCGCCACAAGTTCGAGTTGACTTCTGACCATCATCCTTGCCCAACCGGGGCTTACGTCGGTTCCCAAGCCGCCTTCACAACACCGTTGCATGCACGATGGTGCAGGGCGAACGTCGAAATCTCGATAGGATCTTGACTCGGACGCGCCGGTTCCGCGTGGGCAACCGACTGTCTGGCCTCTCATGAGAACCGTATAAAACTGCAGGAAACCAAGTGGCGCTTCGCGTCCAAATCTTTGCAGCATACCCCCATCCCTGCACCACCCAAAATCAGAAGTTATGGCCGTCACTGAAGCATTGCGCGCTGTCGCCGTATACTGTGCATCGTCGCCAGGGAACGACCCCGCGTATCGCGAAGCTGCCTACTGTGCGTCTCCACTTACTTCCTAGTCGCGATCACGCTTTCAATGTGTGCTAATTCTACCATCAAACAGCCGTTGGACGTGCGCTGGCTTCACAGAAGCGCCCACTTGTATATGGCGGCGGATACAAAGGCATCATGGGCTTCGTCTCAGATGCAGTGATTGATGCGGGAGGAGAAGTCACGGGTGTCGTCCCGAAAGCGATGGTAGAGGCAGGCGGGGAAGGCGAGAAGACGTCAGGAGATGCGTCTGCGCACGGTGCGCCCGTCGTGTTGGACGAGTCCAAGGAAAACGTGCAGACGGTGCGTCTCATGATCAGTCGAGCCATAAAAGGCGTGTTGATTGAAATAATGTATAGGTCATCGTGGGATCCATGCATGAACGGAAGGTCGAGATGGCTAAGCGATCTTGCGCCTTCGTTGGATTGCCGGGCGGGTTTGGAACGTTTGAGGAGGTGTTGGAGGCAGTAACATGGACACAACTGGGTATCCACGACAAACGTGAGCTCTCTGTGCTGCCTCTATTGGGGAGTCTTCTAACGCCCCCCTGACAGCCGTCATCCTTGTCAACGTCTTCGGCTTCTGGGAACCTCTACGCGCGCTTATCGAGGGTTCGATCGCGTCGGGCTTCATTCGCAAGGACGGCGATTCGCTGGTCATCTTTGTCGATGGACCGGAGGATCACTCTAAGCACGCGGAGTATGACTGGGGAACTGAAGTCCTGCAGCACATCGACAGTTGGAAGGGAGGCCCGAAGGGCTTTTACAAGTGGACATGAGCGGTGCATAAGGTCGGGGTATGGTCTCACGTGGATTTGCATTTGCAGATGACTCTGTGGACGCTGGGTTGAGTGGTGTCTTAAATAATGCCTGCATCGCCTCTGCATGGACGCTGAATGGTGTAATTACTGATTGCTCGTACGAGGGTTTGGTTCTCACTGTCGCTTCTGGGTGGGTATCGTCTACAGCAGATGGGTATTGTGATGGTTATAGACGTAGACGTAGACGTAGACAGCGAAGCCAGGAAAGTCCGTAAAGATATGTTATCATTGGCAGGCCTCCAACAGACAACCATCCGAACTAGCGTACATTCCAGTCAATACAATTCGTTGGAAAACAAGGAGAGTGGGATGCAACTCGGACACAGTGATGCCTCGGCAGGCGGTAAAACAGGCGTGTGTGTGCTTATGGTGTTCAGAACATGGATTCCATCGGGCCCTCGTCTTCCGTTAGGCGTAGACATGGCAAGTGGGTTACTGGGCAATAAAATGCTGTAGCCTGCCATCTTTATACTTTGTAGTAGATGAACCACACGAAGGCATAAGCTTCACACATCGTATATGATTGTGGGCTAGTCCACAGCGTGGTTTACCACAAGTCCGACGCCCGCTGTCGTACCAGAGCAGCATTGTTCCCTTGGGCGGCCTGGTGAAACGTGAACTATGTCGCAAAATCCCCATTCCGGTGATCACCGGCGTCGACCCACCGACGACTGGATCAGTGCTGATCAGCAACGACCACCCGAGCGCGGGCGGGTGAGCAGCGTTGATCAGCACTGACACGCACTGGTCA